AAAATTAAAAAAAAAAAAGACACCAAATGGTTAGAAATTAAGACATCAAATGGTTAGGGCTGTTATGAGCAGAGTATTACTGGCTTAGGGAAACAATAATCTGGCAGTAATAATTTAAAATTCTTTAATGGAGTCCAGGAAATAGAAGGCATAAAAAGACAGAAATTACACCTATAAAGTATCTATAGTTAAATGTATTATTTTCATACATAGTGTCTCTTTTGATCATCACAAAATTCTCTGGGTATTTATCATAACCCTCATTTTACAAACTAAAAAAAATGAGCCTGAAGCACTAAGAAGCACAAACAGTTGCAGATGTGGACCTTAAACTCAAAACTTTTAATCTTAGGTTCAGTCTGCTTTATATTATATTACTTTCCTCCTTCCTATTCTTAAACAAATACGAAGAGGAAATGCAAACATTTTGCTAAACAAAGCAAAGTATGTTCTCATCTCTTACTTAAAAAAAGAGAAGAGCAAAGGGGGGAAAATGAAAACACTAAGAGGATAGAGAAAAAGGTAAAAGAGAAAAAAAACAAGGGAGAAAAATGAAGAGGTATAGAGAAGGAAGAAACAGCAACTTAGACATCTCTTATGCCAGGAAAATGCCATGGGAAAGTCAATAAACTTATAAAAATCTGAACAAATATACAGAATAATCCTAAATAATTTTGAAAATCTAAGGGAAGAGTTCTGAAAGTCTATAGAATGTGTCCACCAAAGCAACTCTCCTCACAAGAAAGACAAAAACTGCATGGACCACAACTGATGCTAGTTGTCATAGGAACCACCATGTCTCTGTTGGTTCTATTGTCCCACAACAGCCAACAACACTGCATTGTTAAAACACACAATGCTTATCATATTCACCACCTCTACCAACATGCCATCATGGTTAATGAATTAATAAAAAGCCAGACTAAAGACTTTCATGAGAAAGGTGCTATAGTAAAAACATTCTTGAATTTGCAATCAATACTAAAAACTTTTCAATTTCCCAAATTCATGGGGAAAAAAAGCTACAGAATGAGATTTAAGGACACTTTAAAGATACATATTAAAGTTCCTAAAAGTGTTTATATTGTCTGAGATATTAAACTCACCGTTGAAGTATCGATGACACTTTTCTCTCTTCCCTCAATATCATCTTCTTCATCTTCATCACTGAAATCAGCAGCTGCATTTTCAAGGAATTTGAAATTATCCAGCACCGAGGCAGAATCTGTTAACTCGGATTTTCTAGTTTAAAACACGTACAACCTACTCAGTTAATCTTTTTAAGCTTGACATAAAAATTAACTCATAATATGTTTCACTAACTTCTGTTATACTATAAGATCCTCAAATTATATTATGACTGGCATTGATTGTCATTGATTAAAATTCTGTGGATTCACTGAAAAAGTAAGATAGGAATACTACTCTTTTAACAGTGCCTTACAATCATATCTATTTACATTAGTGGTAATCAAAGAACTCCCCTCCTCCAGATTCAGTATTGTTTTGATTCCTAATGTTTTCTTTTTAAAGTAAAAATTTTTCTTATTAACTCTATTTTCACAATTCTCTGTTCTTTCCCTCTCAACTTTTTCTTTGACCTCTTATACAAGTTTCGACAATGAAAAAAAAAAAAGTAGTAAATATGTCATTTTTTTATGAGGTAATGTTATATTTCTGCTAAACCAAGCTAACAAGGTAAAAAGAGCAAACTACAAGTAAAGTTATCAAAAACAACATACTAGACAAATTACATTACTAAGAGACTTGGTTGTGTTGAATAAACACTCACCTTTTAGAAATGATTGTATTTTCAAATAAGACAAATACATTTGGCTCAAAATAAATGCAGTAAACAGTTTCTTAATGACCAGAAAGATTTCTCTCCAGTTCATTAGGAATGTCTTAGATAAAGACATTTTCCTAAAAAAACATCATCACACCCATAGACAAATGTTCAAAACAGATAATCTTAAATTTCAAATCTACTAAAAGGTATTTTTTGTTTTGTATTTTGTCTGTAGTACCCCAATTCTCCATTCCTACAGAAATCTGACAGATTTAGAGTAATATCCTTGTCAGTTTTGAAAGATAGGTCAATGTCACACACAATGGAGTGGTCTTTGCTGAAAACCATAACTGAAAGTTTTTCAAAAAGCATGTTATTACAGTCCCTCCAAATATTTATATTATGTAAGTTAGCTTAAGTCATAAGGTAAAAATGCAACCAGGTATAATGCTCACATGGTCTATGTCTATAAAGAGAAAGATCAACAATTTGTATTTGTAAATACAAATTAATACATTCTTAATTATTAATGAATACTTTTAAGAAGATTCTAGTGACATATTTATAAAATTCCTGCCTTGAACCTTTACCTCATCCTATAGTTTTTAATTTATGTTCCAAATAACAGGAACTATGTTCTTACTAGGAAATTTATAGAATTCAATTGAAATCACTCTTTCAGCCTAAATATGGGTTAAAACAAAGTAACATTGTATTTAGACTTCAGAGAATCTTTGGCTTTTTATTCAATTTGTTGAACTGTTCATGCTCATTTAAGAAGAATTATATATAATTGCATGATATATGGTCCAAAAAGGAAAATAACATATTTTGAACTATTGAATTTTTCACATTTAGTCTATATATTAAAATATATAGACTTAAAATAGACATTTTAATCAAAGAAAAGATGAGTTACAGAATTATGACATAAAAGTGATACAGAAAAGGTTTACGTCTAAAGAATTTTGAGGTGCTTTTTTGATTTGATTCACTAATAATGAAATTTCATTCTTACAAATTTGTACTGAATTTCAATATAATCTTTTATGAGATTCTAATAGTAGTTGACTGAGCTTCAAGATATTAAAATTTGTATTAAATAAGAAATTATATTCTTTAATTAAAATAATCATAAGAACTGCATTCCATGCGATGTATTCCAACCCAATGACACTTGAAAATTATATTTAATTAACTATAATTATTTCTAAATCACCATCTACACCAAATACTTACCCAATCATTGCCGTCTCTTTAACTTCAGCCTCCGTGCCATTTATAACTGAGTCCTGATTTTTGTCATCTTCTCTGTCAGTGACATCACTTGAAAAGCCCAACAAAGCTCGCACTCGTTTAGATTTCACATCTAGAATAGTATCTGTGTAACCACCTCCTGGAGATACCTGTGTAAAGAAGATCATTACCGATCAGTCATATGGCAATCAATATTCTAAAATTTAATATGTAATTAAAAATATTTCTTCAAATTCACTGCCTACATGATTTAACAGTACATTACTATACTAGTAAGACTTGTTAATAATCTTCCAGCTGCAGATGGAGCTGTCTCTTGCAGTGCCAGCCTCTATAGTCACTGAGAAAAGTCAAAGAACTATACAATACACCATTCATTACATTTATTCTAAGAAGATACTGTTCCTTGATATATTTCATAGCACATTCTTTTCTTTAGGCAGGACTAGAGCAAACGCTACCAAATTACTACTTTTCAATAGTGATTCCAGTAGCTGTTTTACATTTCTAATGCAGAGTCATGGATAAACTGTTTGAGATCTAGAGAGAATGCTTCTAGTATATATGGTTTCCCCATGACGTATAAGAAGACAATATTTTCCCCAAGAGTCATCTCTCAGAAGAAAAGCTTCTATCCTAAGACAATTCTGAAATAAAAACCCAAAAGAAGAAAAAATAAAGTAAAAATACATTTCAATTAAACTGTGGGAGGTGGGTGTGCATGTACACATGTGTTTGAGTTTGCCAGGGAGGTAGCAGCACAAAAAGGAGAGCATAGGCTTCATATTGAGAGTTACATCTGGTTCTTAAGCCTATCTCTGCCATTTACTAGCAGTGTAACTTTAATTATCCTACACTTCAGTTTTCTTTCCCTGACAACAGATATGCCTAATACTGTACTAGGTACCCAATGCCTATTAACATGAAAAAATAAAAAAGCAAAAACTAAAAACAAATGTGGCAGTGATAGGACCATAGAAAAGGCAAATAAACATGATAGCACTTTAACTTAAATGTAGGCATAGATCTAGAGTTCTTGGGAGCTGGGGATGGAATTCAAGGCCTTGCACATGCTAGGAAGCACCCTAAAACTAACATATATCCATAGCCCAATAATTAGTTTAAATTCAGTTTATTTTAAGATTTGGCTTTAATAGTTATTTAGAGCTGAAAGATATCTTGCAAAGATCTATGATCAAACAGAATAAGTGTCTTATCAAATCAAGATGCTCATTTTTTCCAATCCCATCAAATATCTATAGATCAGCTTTAAAACTTGAAATAATAAATTTCCAACTTTCCTCAGTTTATTCAGTTGTTCTTGCAAACTTCTGTTTTTCTATTTTTAACAATTTAACATTTGATATGCACCTCACTTTGGAAACATAACATATTACAAATATTTGTTTCAAAACTGCCTTTACCACTGATAAGTTGATTTTACTAAATAGTTACTTCATCATGCACTAATAAAATGTAACCTTTTCTTGGATAATTATGAGTCTTCTGAAGATTTTGAAAATATCTCTTGAATAGTTCATTATGCAATTACTTTTCTTTTATAAACCAGCATTTTAAGAATACTTACCTATTTAAAAAAGTAAAATGCACTAGGCATGGTAATACAGGCCTGCAATCCCAGTTACAGGAGGCTAAGACAGGAGGATTACAAGTTTGAGGTCAGCATGGGCAACTTAATGAGACCCTGTCTCAAAGTAAAAAAATAAATGAAAAGGAGTATGGCTGTAACTCAGTGGTAGAGCACTTGCCTGGCATATGCAAGCTCCTGGGGCTCAATCCTCAGTACCACTAAAAAAAAATTCTTAAGTCACATTTAAGATCACAATAAGAAACATTAGTGAAAATCCACTCAATTGTTAGTACTATTTCCCCCTTAACTTTGTCTAGATAAAAAAATGGATATGAAGAAATATTATAATATTCCATTGTTATGGTCATAAGAAATGGATTTGACCTACTTTGAAAACCTTAGGTCTAAACTACTTATAAGTAATCCCAAAAGTCCAAAAGAGCAAGTTTCATCTTACTCTGGCATAAATTTGAATACCAGTTAGAGAGGTGGCGTGCAAGGACCAGGATCTGAGTTGGTAAGTCTAGTCTACTCTTCGACATCAGAACCTCAATCAAGCTTTTTATCCTTTGTATAGTGTCAAATGCACATTTTAGGCAGTATTTACAAAATTTGGGAATTCAAGTTCTTCAAGGTATTTAAAATTAAAAATGTTAAAAATTACATGCAAATAAAACATGTAATTTTACATTAATGTTTACATTAAAACATATGCATATGTTTACACAGGTGATGTATGAGAAGAACTTTAAAGATAAAGAATTCTTTTAACTACATAAATTCCACCACAGAGGGAAAAATGTTTAATATGAAAAAGGAATAGTAATTCAGTTAAGCTTTTTTACACAGCAGTAACATAATAAAAGAGAAACTCATTCTATTTATTTTAAAATTCAAACAAAAAATAATGTCATGAAAAAAATTTTTCTACCTTCAACTATTCATAAGTTTGACTGTGGTATACTTACTGTCTGAGAAGTTGTCGACCTTGTTTCCACATTAACTGGCTGTTTTGTTGTGGTTGCACCTCTGTTTCATTACCTTCATCTGGAAAACATGAAATCCTAATAAAACTGATTGTTTCACATATTTGAGGGATCTCAATCCATAAAAAATGTCCAATAAACATTTCTGAGATTAAGAATATGATGAACTGCAATTCTGTAAGAGATATGTTTTAGGACAATGTAAATGGTTTTTAGCTATAATTTCTGTAATTAAACTAATATAAAATAATTATTACTTATGGAATCCCCCTTGTAGTAGTAGAACTAAAATAAAGACATTTTTTTCTATTGTTTTTTAGCTAGCCTGAGAATTTTCCTCTAGGACAAAGACCTATCAAATCAAGTCACATAGTGAGAGCCAAATAAAAGTATTATGAAGTATAACTAAGAACAACAGCAACAAAAAGTCTAAAAGTGATAGTAAAGAACAAACAAATAAACAACAACAACAAAACCTAGTTGGGTAAAAAACAATATAAGAAATAATCTCAATGTAAGTCTGTTTCCATCACTAACTATTAAATGAAAGCTTCAAGTATTCTTTCAGTGACTTTTTTGGGAGGTGATGGTGCTAGGGATCAAACTCAGGACCTCACACATAGTAGGCAAGTGCTATATTACTGAACTACACCTCCAGCCTTCAGTGAAGTTCTCTGAATGAAAACTTTTTACAACTTTTCAAGTTAAACATCACTAGGTAAAAGCTGAACCCTTCCAAGAAGAATTACTGAACAGCTTTCTCTATGGTAAATCTGAAGAACTTCCAAACTATACTATGGCTGAACTTTAAAAAGGTCATATTTTGTATATGCCCTTGATCAAACTAAGAGAAATTGCTGGTCTTTATGGAAACTTTTTCCAAGTGGAGATAAAAAGGAACTGAGAAATTTTGTTTTGTGATATTGAAATTAAGCATTTACTGTGTGCTTACTGTGCTCCCGACACTGTGTTAAACATATATACATTATCTCTTCTGATCCTTCTATCACAAAATAGTTGCTTATCTCCATTTTAAAGATAAGAAGACTCAATTTTAGAGGATAATTTTCAATATTCTTAGGAACACTGTTATAACTGCTGAACTCCTGCCTGCTTCACTTTAAAGTCAGCATTTTTCTCCACACACTATCACTACAATAATAGGAAATTAGACAATTATGTGAATAAAAGTAAGAATTAGATCTTGCATTTTTTTTCTCCTAAAATTGGCAGGCTAAGTCCTTAATATACTAAAGAAATAATAGTACAGTAGAAGAGGGTGAAGGAAAGAAAATAAGGCAAATTAAATTAACTCCAAAAGGAAGATTACTTTGGAATAACTTCAAAGACAAAATTCTTAGAAAGAAAGAAAACAACAATGTTCAAATACTAAGGAAAAATGATACATCTGGTATGATGCTAATATTGTTTATCAGCCTGATTGGATTGAGAAGGACTTGAGAGACTAGTAAAGCACACCTCTGTGTATGTCTGTGAGGACATTGCCAGAGAGGGTTAACTAGGCTGAGAAAGACCCATGGGAAATGGGGGTAGCACTATCCCAAAGGCTGGAATAAAAGGGGAAAAGGAGAAAGTCTGCTAGTGTAGGCGTTCTGTCTCTGCTTCCTGGCTGCCACGAGGGGAGCAGCTCTGCATACTATACCCTCTCTACCATGAAGCTCTGTCTCACCACAGGCCCACAGCAATGGAGACGAGTGACCATGGACTGAAACCTCTGAAACCGTGAGCCAAAATAAGTCTTTCCTCCCTAAGTTGTTTTGCTCATATATTTTGTCACAGCAACAAAAAGTTAACATCTTGTTTTCACTAACCCAGAAGGTGTTTTTATAAGAAAAAATGTCCCAATATTGCCCCTTCAGTTAACTGAGTAAACATGTACTTGCCAAATAAGGACATTTATACTGATATTTCAAGACTTTAAAATTTTCAGACACAAAAAAGTTGTGAGATCATTAATCTCCCATAAGAATGGGCCTAAATCCTTTCTATACTGTCTTCAGATACACTCAACTGCCTTTGCCTAGTGATGTTTCAAAACTGTGGCATACCAATTCACTAAACAAGAATAAGGAATGAACTAGACATCAACATAGATGGATCTCAAACATATTATGTGAGATAAACCAGATCAAAAGGCTACATTCTGTAACTGAAATGACTTTCTAGAAAAGTCAAAATTGTAAAAATGAAAAATAGACGTGGTTGTCAACAGATTAGCATGGGAAAGACGGGGTTGATTACCAAGGATAGTAATTACAACATTGCATGTGTTTGATACACTCAAACTCAAAATGGTAATATTTGCTGTACATAAGTAGCACCTTAATAAAGAATAAGTTAAGTTGGGTATTGTAGCACATTCGTGTAACACCAGCTACCCAGGAGGCATAGGTAGGAGGATCATGGTCTGAGGCTGGCCCTAGGCAGAAGGTCAAGATACTATATGAAAAAATAACTAAAGCAAAAAGGGGCTAAAGGTATGGCTCAAGTGGTAGAGCACCTGCCTATCAAGAGCAAGGGCCTGAGTTCAAGCCCTAGTACCAAATGAACAAAGAATAAATTAAAACAAGTAAGAATGTGTACCCATTCTCTTAATTTAAGTATAAGAGTCAAATTGAACTTATATTTTCATATCCAGGCTAAGTTAACAGTCTTTCCAAGGTTACTATGTGGTAATCAAGTATCAGCAATTCTTGTCTTATCAAGTTCAAAGAGGAGCATTACATAAAAGTGAGGATTTTAAAAGCAGATTTTTTCAGTTGTTGAAAATTTTTGACTGCCACATCTAGTCAAGTTGGATTTACCGTCCTGCCTGAAACACTGTACAACAAAATTGATGAAACTGCGGTGTTCAAGTCACTGAACACTAGGCAGCCAAAGACAGTGATCCCTGAGAGAAGGGAAGCACAAAGGTGAACCTTATGACTGTCCTAGCTACTGCCTTGATGGAGTTTTTACATCAAACACAGAAGTGGAAAGGAACAAAAACAGTATCTGAAGAAGAATATGGCTAAAAAGTTCCAAATGTCATAAAAACTACAGATTCAAGAAACTCCACAAACCCCAAACTTAAGAAACATAGTAGAAAGAGGTACATAAAATTGTTTAGAACCAAGAGAAAAATCTTAAAAGTAGATAGATTAAAAGGTCACACTATATATAGAAGAACAAAGATGAGGACAATAACAGGAACCTCATAGAAACAATGTCAGTAAGAATAATAGACTTTTCCAGATGTACAATAGCTGAAAGAATTCATCACCAGAGTCTTTACTCCCATTTCCTGTGGGGGGGGGGCAGAAGATATTTCTCCCTTCCCCCCCCATTTCTCCCCACTTTTATTCTGCTATTCTAAATACCTTTCCTAGTAAACTTTACTATTATTTTTACTATAAAAAAATAATAATTTGTTGGCTTCCATACCATCTGGCATAGGCCCACTACTTCTCTGGCAGTGCTTCTCCCTGTCTTTCTTTCCTTTACTTTCAATAAAGTTTTACCAAAAAAAAAAGAGAGAGAGAGAGAGAGAGAAGAGGAAGAGGAAGAGGAAGAAGGAAGAAGAAAGAAGAAGGAGGAAGAGGAAGAGGAAGAGGAGGAGTAGTTATTCATTACCAGTGGCCTATATTACAAGATATGCTAAGAGAAATCTTTTAAGGCAGAAAGAAAAATGACACCAGATGGAACTATAAATCTACACAAAGAAATGATGAGCACTGGAAATTTTTTTATTATTTGAATCTTTTTTAAAAAGAGAAGTAATTATTGAAACAAATACTCAATTAAACACTTGGCTGTCAATCCTACAAATCTCTAGGGAGTTTGTCTTCCTGATCACCATCAGTATCATAGACCTCTGCTTTTTTTAAATGTCTCTCCCACTCTTAGCAGTTAATCCTGTCTCACACATAAAGCTAGATATATACATTTCCTTCAATAGCCACCACCAAGCTGAAACTCAGCCCTATAAATCTGGTACCTGACTTCCTATATTCTCTCCAGGTAACAATAAGACATCCAGCTGTCCAAAGCTATGTTTAAATCTAAACCCTATCACTCTTCAGATACCTTCATATTCTGAGTATCTCTACTCTCTCTCTCTTTTATTGGCTCCTCCTCTAAGACACATCATACACACACACACACACACACACACACACACACACACTCCCTGACCCCAGGTATCCTTTTAGCAATTTCCCTCTAATTGCTCTCCTTTACTTTCACAACCTAAACTTCATGAACCTTTATTACACTCAGTCTTTCTTTTATGCTCATCTCTTTCTTTCTGCCCTTACTCTCCCCTAAAACTGATTGTAATTACATTCCCAGTGACCTGTGTGCTGGTAAATACTAGAGATACTCTTCAGCCCTCTAAAATTAGTAGTGCTGAACAGTCCTTCCCTTAGTGTTAAACTCTTTCTTCTCTTGGTTTCTACTCTCCTGGTTTTCCTTCTACCATTAAAGTAGTCCTTATCAGTTTCCTTTTCAGGTTTCTTTCTACCAGTCTTTTAAACGTTATCATTCTTCAGACAGCCACTTTAGTTCCCCTTCTCACTTTGTATAAGGTGCTCTACTCCTCTGGCTTCATGTGCCATCAGTACTACATGCTGATGCCTCTCAAATCTATGTATCTAATCCACAGTCTGGTTTGAGGACCTGACCATATACCAATGGACTATTAGTCATCTTCAATTGGTTGTCTAAGAAATAAATCCAAAAGAGAACCCATTGTTTTCTAAATCTATTTCTGGTCTACTTATTTAAGCTACAAATGTGGGAATCATCTCTGACTGAAATTTTAGGAATTACTCTTAGAATATTTCCCAAATTACAGATTAGGAATGGAGGAAACCTTAGGGAAATTAATGTTACAGGGATTTAAAGTGTTAGGGCAGAGTTAAACTTGTATCTACCTGATTTCAAAGCCCAAGCTTTTTCTACTGAGGCACAGTATTTAATTATAAACTTTAAAAAAGTACTGCAACTACATCTTTATACTCCTAAATAGCTATCTAAAAATTATGAGAGAAAATTAAATAAAAACAAATAATGAAAATTGTCTAATAAAAAATTTGAATATAGTATTGTAAATTTCACACATATAAAATAACTTTTTTTTGTGGTATTTGGGTTTGAACTCAGGGCCTCACACTTGCCAGGCAGGAAGTCTATTACTTGAGACACTCCACCAACCCCCAAGAATATTATATTTATTGAAAAAACATTTTAAGACTTACATAAAGGCTCTAGCATAGGTAGGCATTTCAATAAATAATATAAATGATTAATACCTTCAGCCACTTGAGTGAAGAATTTAATTGGAAATTATGCCAAAACTCACCCAACTGAAATACTGGGATAATTTTGAAACAATTGTTCTCACTTTTCCCTTTACACTGACTAATAAGTGAATTATGCCTATAATCCTTAGTAGTTTACAAATCCTATTTTATATTATTTGTGGTTGAAAATTTTGTATTATTTTGTCATTGAAGAGGAAGGTTCAGGAAAGAAGTGACACAAAAAGATGAATGTCAATTGTTAAAACATGTTCTGTTTATTGAAATTCCTATGGCTCAGAAAGTCCAAAATAGTCTGAAACAGAGGATCAAGTTTAAGGGATTAGCCAATTTCCCTGTGCTTTAAGAAGAAATCGCCTCTCCCCATAGTTCTTTTACACTCTCTCAAGATTTTAAGGGCATCATGCACTTTGTACTGCCTATCTCAAAGTTCCCATTAATGCTAGGAAGACCCAGCAAAAAAACATTATGTTTGTGAAGGATAGCCCACTAAATATGAACCTTCTAGCAAGTGCAGAACCTAAGCAGAAAATGGTGAATTTTTAAAAAGGGGAAAAGAGAGAAAAAGAAGGTGGTGGAAAATGATGCACACAACACTAAGTGATTAGTGACAGAAAATAAGCAGGTCAGGAAAAAAATAACTAATATGCAAATAATCAGAAATTAAACTTATACCTATAAATATAAAAAATTCAATATTAACTTTTTAATCTCTTAAGCTTCCTTTAAAATTAGCTTACCAGAATCATAGCTTGGAGGCTTCGTATCTCCCTGATTCAACTCTGTCCCATATTTCAACTTGTGGTACTTGGCTCTAACAAAGAAATGAAAAAAATGCAAAGCATCTTAAAACATGTTTAGATGAACTTTAAGATACATAATAGCAGTTATAAGCACACACTGTCCTGGCTAAACACACATAAAACTTTCAAAGGCTCATATTCTTCCATGGTGCCAAAACCCTAACACAAAAGAACTTGCTCTTTTTGTTCCTGTACCATCCAGTATCATCTTGATAAAATAAAAAAAAAA